CCTTATTTTTCCTTTAAAAATGTGGGCAAAAAGTGTGCAGTATATACAGCAAAATATGATAATATTTTAAGGTATATGCTCCCTATCATAACTACTCGACTCTGCTGTCCAACAGCAAAGCAGCCACAGACAATCCCTAGACAAGTGGGCACAGCTGTGTTCCAAAAAACTGGACTTAAAAAATGAGTGGCAAGCCAGATTTGGCCCTGAGGGCACAGTTTTCTGACCTCCAAATTAGGATGTTTATTTTTGCCATAATTCTCCATATATTCTTTAAATTTTCATATGGCACCTGTACTTGCCAATAATTAGATAAAGTGCAGAGTGTGTAAACATTCAAGAGTTGTTCTACAACTCCACATGAATGAATGCACTAAAACACACACACACTCACACAAAGCAGGAGAATACACACAGAAAGTAGCTATTACTCCAAGTGTATTCCACGGTCACTTATTTTGTACATTACATGCCTTTAAATGGAGCAATTCTTATCCCCCAAAATGAGGGTAGCAGGTTCGCCATTGACATCGCTGTTATTAAGTAAACTCGATTCAAGACCTCCAAATGCTGGGGGAAGGAAGAGTCTTGCGCTGGGGCAGGGTGAACTTGGCGCTGTCTTCAAGAGGGGGCGTGAACACCCACCTCCAGCCACTCCCACTCTCCACCAGATCCTCTGATTTTACTGTTGAATTCCTTCCAAAGGTTATTAACGCAGAGTGGGGTACTCCTTTTTCTTGATGACCCTCTGGAAAACATCCAGCTACAAAAAGCACAACAGAACCGCAAACGCCCAGCAAATACACAGAGAGAGAAAGGGCAGCTGCAAGAATTTGATGGAAACAAGATGTCCCAGCCTGTCACCCTGGCCTGATTAAGGGGTGCCCCGCCCATCATTACTCTCTCCCTCTCAGGCTACCTTTCGTGCACAATACAGCTCTTAAAAAAGGAGTTTAGGTTTGAATGGTGGTGGAGACGCACAGGATGCAAAGTCCTAAGGTTAGTTGCTCGGTTTGAAAAGATTCAGCCTGCCCTTCTCGAGGGATGAGGAAATGCGTAGCCAAAGACACGCACAGGAGGGCCCAAGCAGACTTTTTTTGAGATGGGTTCCTCCCAGGTGGAGGTCATCAAACTGCCTCAGTATCCCAGGGTGTCCTGAAAAGGGTTCTTGAGAGTTCTAGTCAAAAAAAGAAAAAAAAACCCTAAAGTTTGAGCTTTTCCAATGGGCCAAGCATTCCTCAGCACCTGGAGCAGGTATGAAACATGAAAAGGATTCTGAGCCTTAAGAAAAATGAGAAACACTGAAGGTCCCACTGTGATACCCGAGTGCAGATCTGCCACATTCAACCTATGTCACCTGAGGTGAATGATCAGACTCTAGTGTGGCGCACCCTCCTCTTCAACACAGGGCTAGGATCCACATATGGAGGGGAAATCTGGAAGTCCGGGGACATACTATCTATGGCCCAATTTATCTCAACAGATGTTCAGAGCCTATTGTGTGTCAGCGCTGGAGAGAGGAAAATGAAGACGCTACACATTCTGAGCACAGAGGGCGGCTGGCCATCACGCACAGCTTTATTTGGCTTTCAACGCTCTGGCACCCAACCACCCTCAGGTTCTCTCTTCTGTGTCCTGAATCTCCTCCCCCTGGCCTTGTCCCAATCCCCGATTACCAGTCCCTCCTCAGGGGGACGGTCCCTCCTCCTCACTGCTTCAGATCAGAGCCCTAGCAAACCAGTGCCACCAATGTGAAGTGATATTATTGATGCACACTTAATCTTCATTTGACAAACTTTCCAATGGCTTGAAACATATGTAGCCATGGAATGTAGGGCTCTGCCATCTTGGTTTGAGGTACAATGTATAAAAACGAAGCCTAGAGTTAAAGAGAGGGGTTGCGTGGAGTAGTCAGTGAGAGGAAAGTGTAAAACCGGGGAATGGAACTTCCAGAAAAGTTGCTGACAGTCATTTAGGACCCTCTGCTCCATCTCAGCAGGGCCGTCTTCAGGTAACATGGATTGGGTTGTCTATGTTCTTCCAGGAAAAAAATCATCGACTGTGAAGTTTATGGGTGTTGGCAAAGTCTGGGCGAGGAGGTGTCCGTGCAGATCACCTGATCTACAGTTTCTTTAAGTTCACCTCTTGGGCTTTGCCTACAGGATGCAAACCAGTGACTCACAAGAAAAATTAATGCCCAAGACAAAGGGCTTAGCTGAGGCATTTTACGTGGAATCGGACATTGAGAAAGGTGTCCTGGATCACTTCTGAGGCTTCTCGAGACCGTGATCTGCTCCTTGCTTCTGGTTTCCAGCTTCTTTAATGCAGAAACTGCTACATGAAATAATACATGATCTTTGAAGAGTCCATATTCAGACTTCCAGAGGTTTCCCCGGGCCAACTAAATGGGTTCCTCCGGCCTTGGCTGGGTGGCTCAGTTAGATGGAGCATTATCCCAGGCACCAAAGAGTCTCCGTCAGGGCACAGGTTTGATCCCCGGTCAGGGCGCATTTGCAAGGCAACTGATCGATGTTTCTCACCTCAATGTTTCTCTCTCAATAAAGAAATAGCTCATCTGAACCCATGCGTCTGGAACAATACCGGTAAAATGCCTTTGACATCAACTATTCTAAAGTTAGTGTCTGCGGAATGCTACTTCAGACCTCCAGAAACAGGACCCCCCTAAGTTCACCTCATCAATCCCTGGCAGCATTCTAGGCAAAGCAAACAGAAAATCGCGAGCAGAAAGAAACTCTGGAGCCTGCCTGGGGCCCCTCCGCATTCCTTTTTAAGCATTACAAGGCTGATCCTGGGCTCCAGATGCAGTGCTTGGATGTCAGATGCGGTAGGCAGATGTTTTTCCTTAAACCCGCTGTCTCTCTCAATCTGTTTATAGCTGTTGCCCTATTACTTGCACCTCGAGTTCTTCCTGCTCACTGCACGTCCTACTCCCTCCAGACAGAAAGGGGCATGTTTCTATCATTTGTTCTTTTTTCTATAAGGCATGTACCTGCTCACCAGGTAACCCACTCTCCCATCACTGGCGTGTTTTCTTCCTTGGCCATCTTCGAGAAGCATAGCAGTTAAAGTCCCATCTAGATTACGTCCCCAAAGGTAGGGACGACAGAAAGCACTTGGTTTTTCGGAGGTCCCATGACTAGGTATCAACTGCTGGGCTGCCATGATGAGGTCATTTATTCACACCTGTGCTTCCTTGTTCTGGGCTTGGATGGGCTCTTCCTCCAAGTCAGACTAGGGATCTTTGCTGTACGTCAATTATTCCTTCACGGCAGCCAAGCCAAACAATAGACTTTAGAGACTTATCCTCTAAATGAGATCAAACAGACTATGACCCGGTCCTGGCTGCTATGGCCAGTAGATTGAGCACTGGTCTGTGAACTGAAAGGTTGCCAGTTTGAGTACCGGTCAGGGCACATGCCTGGGTTGAGGGCCAGGTCCCCTGCTGTGGGCGTGCGAGAGGCAACCAATTGATGTTTCTCTCCCTCTCTTTCTCCTTCCTTCCCCTTTCCTCCAAAAAATAAATGAAATCTTAAAAAAAGAAAACAGAATGTGATCCAGACAAAAAGCAGGCCTTGGGACCAGGGAGTTTCCTGGTGGTGATGAAATAGTCCTGTATCCTGATGGCAGATTTTGCTCACCAAAAATTGTCCCGGGACTTCTGATGGCTCCTTCTCATCTTGTAGGTCTGAGGCCAAAACAAAATCTCCTGTGACACTGACTGTGATGTGTACGTCCCCTGCCCAGTTACCTGGCGTCACCCTTTGGTCCACCACCACCTTCCTCCCTGGCTCCCTTGTTTATCATCTGCATCTCTGCACTCACACATGAACTCCACGAACAGCTTGTCCCTGTCTACCAGTGTGTCTCCAACACTGGGGACAGTGCAATATTTTTGACTGAATGACTGAAAAAAAAATGAATGATTTCCAAAGCAATGGCCTATTGGTAGACTATGGTGATTCTCAGACACATAGATCATTATGCAATGACACGCATGTCAAGATCATTTTATGTGAGGGAATACACATGACAAAAAAATTGAGTGGTATCCTTAAACGCTAGACAAAGGCCAAGAGAAACCCAATAAAAAGACACGATTCCTGTTGAATTTTCTGAGATAGAAAGAGACCAGCAAGTAAGTAGTTAGATGGGAAGATAGGAATGAACATATCAAATACACATACACACACTCATTTTCTCGTCTCCAAAAATGTGACAGGATTTTGGTTCTTGTTTTACCTTATTAGTCATACTGCAATGAATGCGAGTCCTATATCGGGGCAGAGGCTGAAAAGCACGGAGAGACAGGTATGGTGGGCTCAGGTAAGCAGAGAGAAGAGCGAAAGGGCCCCCTCGGGATGCTGAGTTTCTGAAATGATGTCATCCCCTTCACCAGGTGGTTTCACAGGGACAGGATGGGGGCTGCTCTGTCCCCCGAGTCACCTGTCTAGAACTCAAATCCGCACTGCTATTCTTGAACGTACTGCTTCATGGTATCATAGACTCCCAGGAGGTCAGACCTGGAAGTGCTCTTAGAAATGATCGTAAAAGTCAGCCCTGAAATGGGGTCCATCTTCCTCTAAACAGGTCCCATCCCTGTTCAAAACAGGAGGGGCTTTGGACAACCCACCATGCCCAAGATGTCAGAAGAAAACTCTTAGAGGGCTGTGCTTCAGATGTGAAATGTTTTAAATAAACGGCTAACCTTACATGTATCCACTTTAGTGGGAATACCGTCCCCCCAAAAGACCCCTTAAAATCCTGGGAATAAGAGACAAGGAGGCCGTCAACCCCTGGACTTTAAAAGTGTCCTTGGAGCCAAGCAGCCTGAAGTTAGTCTTCCGATACCAAAGTCAGCCTGTGCTCTTTGACTCCCCTTCATTTCACGCTTCTCTTAAAAGAAAACAGGCCAGACCGTTTCAGTAAATAACAAAAGGTCAGAGAAACGCTACTCACAACACGAGCAAAATAATGGCACAACCTGCCAAAACGTTTCCTAAGGCCCTGACTGGCAGAAAAACCAGTGGTGGGGCAGTGCACAGGCGGATCTGCCTGGTGGGAAGACAGGCTCATCCCAGGAAAATCAGCCCGGCTCAAACTCCGTTCGTATTTCATCAATAAGATACCCAAATGCAAATTCCACCAGCAAGATCAACCAACACCTCGGGATCACACCGCTGCTGAACAGGTAGGCTGCCCACGTGCGTGGGATTGTTTGTTTGTTTGTTTGCTTGCTTGTTTTTCGGCTCCTCTCCTTACACTACATTTTGACTTTAGAGCTGAGTGTCAAAGGGGTGGTGAGACAGTGATGGCCCCAAAGCTAACGCTTGGAGTCAATTTTGTAACATCTCCCAAACGAAACTACCAGCTGGTTTAACTGCAACCACCTGAGGGTGGGCCCACACACATTTGTGTTATCTTCAGAATTTCTCTGAGGCAAAGAGGGTGCAAATATCCTGATAAAAGCACTAGAGAAAAATGGAGAAAAACACATGCAAGGCAGGACCCAGGTCTCCTCACCCCCAGCTGATTCTGGTGGGATGTTGTCCCCCCACGCATCCTGCTCTCACCCACGCGGACAGGGCCACACGCGGAGCCTCATCAGCAGACGTGTCGCAGTGACGGGTCTTACTCATCTCTGGCTTACAAGTGGTCGGCACTCTGCACATTCCGTGGGTTCAGTCAATGGCATCCATACTGTACCACATTCCTGGTCCAAAAACACACAGCAGCATCTTTGCAAAATAACTCCCATGAAATAATAGTCCGGCAAGATGTTTACTTGGGCGCAACATAATTCTGATTCCATGATGAAATACACTTGGGAAGTGTTTCATCCAATTGCTAGACCCCCCCATACTGGAATCATAAAGCACAGGAGAGATTCTGAGAAAGTCTGCAGGAAAGAAACCTGTGGAAGTCCACATTTCCCCGGTGACTTCGGAAACCTTTTCTCAATGGCCACCTATTACCGTCCTAAGAAACTAGCCTTTGGCAGAGGACAAATTCAAGCATGTACTTTAGAGCAATTTCTGATTCATGGCTGATCACCTCTAATCTGTCATTCAAGAACAACTCATTCTTCCTTCACGCTGTATCATTGTGGTCGGTGTGGCCCATGTAACACCCTATTATTAGTTTCTTATTCTTTTACCTATTGCTTCATGATAGCATAGGCTTTCGGCAGGTCAGATCCGAAAGTGCTCTTAGAAATAATCATAAGGTAAAGGTCAACCCTGAGTTGAACGGTTGTTAAACAAAACCCCTGCGGTGAATGGACTGGCCTAGGATGTCACAATCCAGTATGTTTGGCTCCGGACTGGCAGTGGTGTTTTCTAACACCCGTCTGCCCACCCACACTGTGGACAGGGATTACAACAGTGGGCCCCCCATGGGCAAGAGAAGGGACGAGAGCACCCACAGAAGGCCGTACACATGCATCCCATCTTCTCCCTTAACTCTTGTAGAAGTCCGTGGATTGCTGTTGGAAAGACGAGGAAGCTCGAGGCCACACAGGGAGCAAGTAGCTGAGCCAGGATTTGAGCCAAGAACAGTTTGACTCCAAAACACATACTCCTGCTAGAGTGTGATACTCCCTCCACAGAGAGGCCCTCGATAGAAGCACGTTGAATTACATATTAAACCAGGAATTTGCATATCTGAAATTGGAGGCAGAGCCTCTCCCGGACGTCTCAAGGAAACACAAAGTAAGCCTTTGTTTTCCATCAAAATACCCCATCACCTGTGGATGTCGAGAAGACAGGGATTCAATTTTGAATTCCCTCCTTGTTAATGAAGTGACGATTTTTAACAAATGAAAACTGAACCCAGTTAATCAAGTAATAAGAACAAAGTTCTGGTAGTACTGAACATTGCAAATAATACATTTGCCAACTGTCGCATGGTCATTGAATGTTAGAATTTAGTGGCTTCTCTCAAGTGTAGATTCACTTGGTGATGTTTCATGAAATCCATGATGGGGACCAAGTCCAGTTAATGTGATGACGACCATGTGTGGTGTATTTTCCATTTTATGTACAAAACATATCCCACTCAAAACTGCGGTGGTTCTAATAGGGAAAGAAGAATTCCTGCAGATTTAACCAACTGGTGAACTTCACCTCTCCGTAATCTAAATGTTAACATTCAAACTTCTTTATTTTAATTTTTTAGGTATTTTGAACACTAGTTAAGGAATTTATTCCACTTACTAGTAAAATTACTCTTTTAAAGCATTTCTGAAGCAACATGTGCTCCATGAGTCCAAGTAGAATATTAAAAATGACAACAAATAACAGTAGTCAACAACTCTATGAATAATCTATTAAAAACCTGGCTTGGGAAGATTTATAATGTTCTTTATAATAATTAATGTGCAATTCAGTTTAGGGATACCATGGACTTTCAGTATTGGTAGAAGGGGAAATTGTTAATTTTAGTAATTAAAAGTCAACCATGACTGTATACCCTTAAGAAAAAGAATGAGTAAGGAGGACATTTTATATTTAAATGTCATTTTTTTAGTCAGTGTTAGGTAGTGAACTTGAGCACTCAGCTTACCATCTGGAAATTAAAAAGAAAACACAAGTTACAAGGGTGAATTTATGTCTCTACCAATCTTTTATTTCTGAAATCAGAGTGATGCCAATTTTCCTAATACTTCAAAAAGGACCAATAAAATCTTTATTCACTGAGATTATTAGATATAATGAAGTGAAAGTCTACAAGGAAGCAGAACTTGTTAAATCTTGACCATTCATGTCATAGTTTATTGACAGAAAATTTACTTTCAAGTGAACTGACAACTCCTACTTGACGGGCTCACTTGCTTCATGAACGTCCGAACTCCGACTTGCTCAGTCTCTGCACATGCACTCACGTCCTAGTGGGAGGGCTCCTATTAAAAATACCATTTCCATCCCTCCCATGTGCAAGTAGATTGGCAGGGGCTGCTCCACACGGGCTCCATGAAGAGGAAGCTACCAGACCCGGAGCTGGGACAGCATACGTAACAGGTAGCATCCTAGCATCTGCCATCCAGGATCTGAGTATCTTTAAGCGAATGCACAGACAACAGATACCAACGCCATCAACCCAAACCTAGTTTCACAGTGAGTGGAATGACTCCTGTGATGCACAGTCTGAATTTATTCGTTTTCCTCATTATCCAACATAATAGGTGCCATGTACAGAGTACACAGTGCGTGCCGGGTACTGTTCTAAGGACTGGATTCCTGTTAAGCCACAGCAACACATACAGGGAAGATGCTCTGTGATTGGCCCTTTGCAGATGAGCAAAAGGAAGCATCGAGAACCAAAGAGAAAAGGGCAGAGATGAAGTATGAACCCAAATGGCCTGTCTCGGGTCCACGCTCCTAGGACCTGACCCTCTACTGACCAATGAGGAAGTTAGCTGGGTTTGCTCTTCAGACATACTTGGCTAAAAAGAATATTCAAGGTAGTTAATGATCATTTCCCATATAAGAATATGTTTCAATGCTCATAAAAGGGTTAAAATATTCTGTGACCCTTCCGCTATATCACAGAACTGGAGAGACCCCCCGAGGAGCCGAGGGCTCTTTCACAACACCAGTGACCAGGGCACACCCCTCCTTCAGCACAGAAGCTGCTTACAGTATAAATTGGGGAGAAAAATCCAAGGTAGACATTTGAGACCTCTATGGTTCCTTTTTCTAATTTAGATTCTAGATATAAATAATGTAATTGCTAGAGTTAAAGACCTGTCTGTTTTTTAGGAAAATGAGATTTTTATTTGGGATTCCCCAGTATATTAGAAAGATGATTCTTAGTATAATTGTGGGCAAGAAGGAAATAATATACATATTTGTGGCTATGAGCAGCTAACCAGAAAAAAAAAAAAAAAGAAAGAAAGAAACTGTCTGGACTTGCACAGTTCCAAACCGGGCTGAATGTTTTCTTTTTTCCACACGACTAAGCATTTCTTCCTTATCGAGGAGGATTCGTTTCCCACCTGTGTCTTTTACGTTCTTGAAATGCATATAAAGTTAGTGTTTATTTTCCACCCACGGAAAGCTTAAGTTATTCTTTCTTTGGGCTTTACTTTCAGAACTCACAATTTGGCAAGCTTCGGCGTGAGAGCAAGCTTCCTTTTATGTACAGCAAACTCCGACTACTTAGAATGTTTGTTTGGGAGTTAAAGGGACGCCTGGTGTTTTTCTGTTTCATAACAATTACCACGTACAACATGACCAGACAAAAACCAAACTGCGCTCCAAGTGAATTCCATCTTTCTGATGAGTCCGCCTCGCCATGGGAATCATGATTATCAATGCCAGATTTTTTTGTGTGTGAGTCGATGTTATTGTTTATATTTTAAATTAATGCATAGATTCCAGATATGGGTTCTGAAAAGAGGTGGTCCGGAGCGGTCCAAACCTTTGGGTGGTACTGTCCTCATTCGTTACACAGGGTGTTCGATTTCAACTAGGATGAAGATCAGACCTTCATGGGGTGGCCACAAGGCACTGTTCTGATGGCACTCGTGCGACACATTCCCAGTATGACGGCAAAAACCACTGGTTGGGAATAAAGAGACAGCGAGGTACAAGGTCTTCCAAAGGTCAAGGGGAACCAGGACAGAGATGAGTGCAAAGCTACAGGACCCAGGCCCTGTGTCTCGGCCTGGGCCTCCGGCGGGGGCCCCGCTGCAGAGCGGGTAGACCTAAGGAGCACAGGTCTCCAAGTCTGCCTCCTCTTTAAGAATGCTGACGAGAATCAAGGCGCTGGGGAGGTCTGCTCTGATCCCCTGCCTTTGGGGAGTTAACATCATTTTCTCCATTTTACCGACAGCACAGCTGAGGTCCAAAGAGCTAAATGACACACAAATAGAGCAGTACAAAGCCAGCTCCTTTTCCAGCTCCATGAAGGACAGCCAGACCTGCTCTGTGTTACATGTTATGGGCCACCCGTGAAACAACATGGCACAGTGGACCGCTCCATCCCGATCAGTCCTTTGAATAAACAGCTCAGACGCGGTGATGCTGCGTGTTCAGAGCCCCGCCCACTTCTACCCCAATGGGACTGCGCCCTGGGGCAGGACAGCCACCTCTATCTCTGCTTCTTTGGGTCTGACTCTCTGTGCTTCTGACTGGAAAGCTGTGTTTGACCCATCGGACCATTCAGTTCTTCAAACCCCGATGTGGCCCAGAGTGAGTCCTGAAGGTGGAAAACGTGGACCCAGACACGGCCACTCACTAGCCAGGGTAGGTGATGTGGTTTGAAGAGACTGGACTTCCTTTTCTCGCTCTGGAACTCACTTGCTGAGTAAACTTGGGCTACTCACTTCTTACCCTTGAATTTCCCCTGTGTAAAAAAAAAACGTGGGAAAACACAGTCTAGCTACCTCTCGGGGGTGGTATGAAGATACCCAACTGATGTTCTAGACTGCATGGCCCTAGGACAGCACCGTGTGCCCTGTGCGACCAGCCATTAAAACAGTCTGTGGCTGATTACGGGCACACACACACCCACATTTCTTACCAAAAAAATATTAAAAACCACAAACAAACAAGGGATTAATTCTGTTCTTATTTGAGGGGAATTTCACAAAATGTCATATTAAAACATTAACATTCTGATACCTAAATTCCACTGAATGTAGTGGAGGAATGTCGTAAAATTTAGTAATGGTAATACCCCAATCTGCCTGTTCTTTAAGGAGAGAAAGAACTTAACCAGATGGTTAATTAATCAAATATATTCGCTGGAACAAATCTAGTCACTAATCTCATTCTGTTTTAAATTTAGTTTGAGAATACTGTAAAAATGCCATCATTGTGCATCTGTGGAATGCTTCAGTTTGTCAGTTATTACAGTTCCTCAGGTACAAAATGACCCGCTAGAATACACACACACACACACACACACACACACACACACACACAGAGGCAAATGCTATTCTGTGACCATGTTGTTTAACTTCTAGAAATTCAGACAAAGGGGTAATTTAGTCACGGGCTACCTCTGCAAAGATGCCGAATCTTAAATGCCTCTCCTGCCCAGTACCCCAGGTTTTTCAGATGGCTCAGGTGGCCTGGACAAAGGGGTACAGAATTGGGGCACGGGTCTATCATAGCGAGGGGTCACCAAATAGGGCGAGCATGCTTCCCAGCCCACGAGGAGCCTGCCCTCTGGTCCTGAGTGTCTTCCAACCTAGGCTCTAATGAATCCACTTAACCAGAAAAGAAATAATTAGCAGTGATGCTCAACATGCATTAAAAGTAAACACAGATCCACTAGACAAGGCTGACCCAGGACATCCTTCCTCTGGACAGTTTCACCAGTCTACAGAAAATGGGAAATTTTAGAAAAGGTACTGAGTTTTTTAAAGTTAAAATTCATTCCTTTTAAAAATATATAGTGAAATTTATTATTTTACCAGTTAGAGTAAATAATAGCTAAGTTCTTAATATCCCAAATTGGCAAAATAAGAAGTTAGTTAGTATCTCTATATTGGTTCTTAAATTAAAAGAGAGAAGGGAACAAACAGGGAGAAAAAAGCTACAAGATCCAAAAGTTTGACCAGTATGGGCTTACAATGAGTGGCCTGCTGTTAGCCACTCATAAAGAGTAGAGACCGCCCTGGCCAAGTAGCTCAGTTGGTTAGAGCATCGTCCCAATATGCCAAGGCTGTGGGTTCAATCCCAGTCAGGAACATTCAAGAATCAACTGGTGGAGTCATGAGTGTGTGGGACAACAAATCAATGTTTCTCTCTCTCCCCCCCACCGTTCCGTCTCAAATCAATTAAAAAAAAAAAGTAAAGACCCACACAGGTGTTAGTTCATGTGATCAAACATTCCCTAATGAGATGCTAAGCTCCATTTCCACATGTAATGCAAAAGGATTTCAAAAGCTGTACTAATAAAAGGGATTTCCAAACTCAGCCCGAAAAGCACGCTGCCACCTACAGCCAAACACGGCGTAGATTCTAAGGCAGGACACAAACATGCATTATGGCATCCTTCAAAAGGCACGACGCGTTTTCATGACAGTCCGCAGGGCAGAACCCAGCAGGCAGAGCCACAGCAGTAAAGAATGGAAAAACTGTCGACTGCTTTGCCATCTGTAGACTCCCTCTATGGAAGCTTTAGACAAATATGGATTCTGCACCCGAGGACAGGTGGCCGAGGATTTAACCATGCAGCCGACCAAAAGGAAGCCAGGTGTTACCAAACTTGGCACCAGTTGACAGAGGCTAGGACTGGTGGGGAGGGGATAGGAGTCAAAAGAGCCAATGTGCTCATTTTTTAAAATAGGTAATTAAGTGATGCTCTCTATGATGGACCGAGTAAGAAAGGAAGTTGCAAGAATTTGTTTGAAATTTAAGCAAGGTCCTTTGAGGGGTGACATACCACTGAGGAGAGAAACTCGGGGGGAGGAGATGGGGCCGAACAATAGAGAGAAACCTCACGTGCCCCAGAAGGAAGTCAACAAAGCCAAGTGCTAATGAACTGAGAAGGAGGGGTGTTAGGGGTTGGACTGTGTCCCCCCAAAAGTTACATTCGGGTCCCGACTCTGGTACGTGCAAGTATGACCTTTGTGGAAATAGGGTCTTTGCAGATGCTAAGATGAGGTCATTGGGGTGGGCTCTCACCCGATGACTGGTGTCCTCATGAGAAGAGGAAGCCACCACGTGACGACAGCTGACACAGGGAGAACAGCTTGTGACCACAGAGACAGTGATTGGAGAGATACAGCTGTAAGCCAGGAGCCCAGGATGGAGGCCACCCCCAGAGCTGGCGGAGAGGAGGAAGGACTCTTCCCTGGAGCAGCACGGCCCTGGCCGACTCCAGAACTGCGGGGAGAACACATTTCTATCGCTTCAAGCTCCTCCATTTGGGGAGCTCTGCCACAGCAGCCCCAGACACTAGAACAAATGCTACACATACATTATTTAACCATCTGAAGGTAATCGCCCAAAGAACTTTAACGAACGGTGGGAGGGTGAAACGGTGTTGCCTCGGGGAAGCGGGCCTAAGGGAAGGAGAATACAGAGGCCATTATATTTTATTAAATGCCTTCCAGCTTGCTCACTGGCTTTTTAACCTCACATGTGTTACTTTGATCTTGAAAATGCATAAATGAAATATCCCTGGGAGGTCATGGTCAGCTTTCTCCAAGACCCCTGTCCTTGCCCCCCTCCCCCACCTCAGAGGACACTCCCTGGGTGCTGTCCCCAGCTGTCTTCAGGGAGGGCTGCAGCCGAGCAGGGAGGGAGGGAGGGAGCCAGGAAGCCCAGGGTCTGAAGGTCTGGGTGCTGTGTGCTCACTGGCCTTCTGTTCGCATCTTAGCATCAAACACAAAGTATTTTGGGACTTTCTGTGGGTTTGTATCATCGATGACGGTAATTTTCCCTCTCGACTTGGGTGATGAAGCATCAACCATAATGAAGACAGAGACCATCAGAGAGCTTGTCACTTGGCTTCCTTTGCAGATTAACATGCAAAACAATGCCTGACAAAGATTTCAGTGATTAGGTTATGCATTATCGGAAAACCTCATAATAGGGCTTAATCACAAACATTTGCTCATCAAATTTTATTTAACCCACAAGAACAAATGCTCAGTGCTCCCCTCTGGCCTGGATCAGGGATCGTCCATGTTCGCCGTGGGCTCTGCCCTTCCCGGCCCTGAGATGTCTCATGCCCTTTGCTCACTCAGAGAAGAAAGCTCACATTGAGCCCCGCAGCCTGTACTGTTGTGGCAGGCTGTGCTGTCACCTCCCACGTGAACAGGCCTAGTGATGACTGTGGGACCTAGAGAAAGGGCACCAGCCCCGTCACAGAAAGAGCAGGAAGCACATGAGTGTTCCTAGCATGCCCTGCGTGAGAGACACAGAATGCAGGGGACGAACACGGTGTGTGGGCCCCAGGGTCCATGCACAGGTCTGTTTGCACAGGGCTCCCGGGGGGCAACTGGGGAGCACCTTGCCAGTCACTGGCTGAAAGCAGTGAAATGTCTGAGCTATCCCACAGAGGCAGAACAAAGGGGTGGCGTTTTATTAGGAGCAGCGTCCTGAAGGCAGTCAACTCACTGCCCAGGGGGAAACGGTTTGTTTCCACTGTCAGCCCAGCCTCCGGGTAACACCTCGCAGCCACTCAGGGGCTTCCCTTCTCTGCTCTCGAGGCCGCCTGACATCCAGACTCAGCAAGCGTCTTCCCTTCTGTGTGGCAAGGTCAGCCAGGATGGACTTCCCAAGACAGATGTGAGTTGTGCCCATGAGAAAGCAAGTCACAAGCCATAAAGCTACTGCACGTGTGAATCAATATTAAGCCCAAGGAACAGAACAGCTTGGTTTTTCTTAGGTGACCTTTCACGGAACCTCCCCTCCAGCCCTGCAGAGAGAAGAGACTTTGGATTCACCCAGAACTGACACGTTCAAGGTCACATGTCTGCTTTCCGACGGTCTCAGTTACCGTTGAGCTGGCCTCTTCTCCTTTCTTGTGTTAAGGCATCACCTCTTAACATGTTGTGATGAAGACCAAACCCGTAAACACAGAGGTTCCAGCAACCCGATCTATTAGACGGGCTTTGATCATGCCCGGCTGCTTCTCGGCTGCTTTGTTCCTGGTCCCATGAGTGCTCCTGTAAACACATGCTGTCTTTCTAGTTATGCTAGAACCCTAACCAGTCTTTGCTAGTACATAACAATGGCCTATCCCATTTTCCTCATTCCTTCCACACACACACACACGCATGCACATGCAGCAATGTATCATCTGAGGACATGGGCCAAGTTCCCTAGCAACGTCACTCAGAACATGCCAATACCCTGTAGATCTCCAAGTTCTGGGTTCATTACATAAATTAAGAGGCACATGATTGAGGGCTTCACATCCCCATTTTACCAAAACGAGATTTTCATAGCTACAATTCTGTAGAACTTCCTTACATGACAGGGCACTAATGTAAGGACTCATTACTAAGCCAGGCTCACCTTGGTCAGCAGGGGTGGGTGATGGCACAGAGCCCAAAGGGACACCCAGGCCAGGACGGCCCTTCAGTCCCTAAGAGTGAATATGACCCAGCTCCTTCAGGGTCAGATTTATAACTAATGAGGCCTACACGATGGAACAGACTCTCTAGGGAAATGGTGACTATTTCTAAAGGTGTCTAGCCAATTGGTTTTAAGAAGAATTGCAGGGAGCGGGGCAGTGGGGGGTGGGGAGCCCGGACCAAGTGCCCTATCTCTTCCCATTGTCCTGGCAGCTGATGGTGGGGATTGACAAAGTGGGAAGAATAAGAGGAACAATAATTGTATAAACAAGAAGAAATAAAATGAGAAAGAAAAATAAACATAAGCTGGATCAGGGGGGAAAAAAAAGCAAAACAAGCAGAAATGATCTTTTGATAAGACTGGTATTACATAAGACAGCACCCAGGACACGTAAGCCACTTTGCCCTACAAGTCACTTTGCTACAAAGAATTAAGGGGACAGAATGAACACAAAAGCCAATTAGAGTCCAGAGAAGGGCTCCATCCCCCTTGGGGGGCTTGCCCTTATCCAAACACTGACTGACTAGTGCAGGTGCCACCCGACTGCCTTCTGGAGTGCAGTCTGCATTAGCACGTGAGCTTGTCTGTTAGGACAGTCAACTTCCCATGTTCATTTGCACTCAAAGGTTAAACAGGAAAAGTAGAAAGCTCATCCCCTTAGAAAATACCCAGATCTACCCCGGACCTCAGGCGCACGGGGCCTCATGTTGCACTGGCTTCCAGGAGCTCTCCTGGCCACACCATGGACCAAACATGGCCCCTTCCACCCAAGGAGGCCACAGCCCCCCATTCTAGCTCCTCCCACCAGGGAGAGGAGACACAGAGCAAACTGGCACAGAGCCTGGACCACAGGAAGCACGAACTAAATATTCACTGAAG